CTCAAACAATTGCGTACTCTTGTGTTGAGCGATAACGAGTTGACCTACGTGCCTATTGACGCATTTCATGCACTGATCAATTTGAAACATCTTGTCTTAGCCGGAAATCTCCTCGGATCGATCACACTGATGGATGTAAGCAGACGGCCATTTCAATCCAACACAAGCCGGCGTCATCGATTACAACGACTGGATCTGCGCTTTAATCAACTTCAGTCACTGGACAGATGTGCGAGTATGTTTGGTCTAGGTGAACCGCTAGAAGAAATCATACCTCAACAACCTATTTGGCTAACTGGTGAGAATAGTCCAACAATCGATAGGAACCCGGAGCCACATGCGATCGGCGTACAGGATGATCCCATGGTGGGACTGAACGACTGGTTTGGTGGCCTAAGCCTGACAGGAAATCCGTTTGTGTGTGACTGTCGTCTATCTTGGTTACGTTCGTACATATCACGAATGGATAGCCATGTGATACAAAGTGTGCCAGATCAGACATTTCCATCTGGTTACCGCTCTTATCGAAGCGAGGCACTGGACTTTGTTTGTGCGGATGCGGGTCCATGGCGAGGTCGAAAGTTTCTCAGTTTGAAACCAATTGACCTGTATGCAGTGCGCCACGACCAGTGTCAGAAAGAACCTGAAATTTACGGAGACGGGATGCAAATCGAAAAGGCCCTAACTCCATGTCGAATGGTTCTGGCACAGGATATAAACGGGTCAAACCGACCTAGTGGTCACATGCTTATGGGCCCTGGTGATCAAGTGAGACCGCTCGGCTCAGGTCTAGAAAAGAAGATTAATCGAACAAGTGGAAAAAAGAGTTCAGAAACCATGGGCATATCACTTGAAGCATTTATTCTGGTCATTATAGCTTCAGTAGCGTCTTTGTGTTTTGTTATTATCAGTATCATCATAATTCTATGGTTATGCCTACGTCTTAAACGTCAAGAGAATTGGAGAAAAGCCGGGACTTATTCGCGTGGGAAGCCTGTGGGAGAAAACCGAAGTAAATTCTTTGTGGATTGTTTCAGCAACCGATGCTGTTCCAGTCGTACACGTCACTCGGCCGGCAAAACTGTTACAGTGGGCAGTTATTCAACAACAGGAACAGTGATCAAATCCTACGGTGCTCTGCGTAATCCACGAAGCATCGAAAGTGAATATGGACCCACAAGCATGGACTCATCCGATGCTGGTACAGTGTACGAAGAACCAGTGGAATCATACTACTCACAAATGTCAGATGTAGAAATTGTGACAATTCAACAACAGGAACAGTGATCAAATCCTACGGTGCTCTGCGTAATCCACGAAGCATCGAAAGTGAATATGGACCCACAAGCATGGACTCATCCGATGCTGGTACAGTGTACGAAGAACCAGTGGAATCATACTACTCACAAATGTCAGATGTAGAAATTGTGACAAGTACGACTGCACCGCGCTCGTCAGCCACATCTAGACCGATTCCACTAAAGCGAAGAACCCGACGTCCAATATATATTCACCAGCAAATAAAAAAAGACGGGGTGATATGCATTCAGCAGCAGTCACGCGGAACAGTGATGCCCGAAGTACTATGTCTTTAGATCAAGGCGGTGGTCCGCCACCACGACTGGTCCCGTTACCACCGGTTCCTGCACAGCGGAAAACCAAAAGCACTGCAGACATACACATGTACCTGACTGATAATGAATGGCGTCCACGAGTTGGGCCACGACATAAGCTTAGCCTTCCATCGCCGCACGATCCAAGAGGACCTGAGCATACAGCAAGCTTAAACGCCCTCAGTACTACAGCTCGGCGTTCTCTGACACGCTCGATGCATTCGGATTCCCGAGATCAACAGTACACTCAACCGACTCTCAGATATAGACAATGGCCGGATGCGAACGTTGTGAATCGGCACACAGACGGCAGTATACGCAATTCCGATATAATTAATCCAGACAGTTTTGCTCGGACCCGCCTAACACGATCAACCGGGTCACGCAATCGCGTTCCAGCTGATCAAAGCCTTAATTGGCTTCGAGCAAGTCGGAGAAAACTTGAACGTAGCTTCGACTGGCTGAGACGTACCGCACGACGAAACGGTCGGTCACCTGCGTCTTCACAGAAAACTGGCGCACATGGGATGACAACAAACGAAAAGCAAGACAGCCTCATGTCCAAGCAATTGAAATTACAAGAAGAGGAGGAGTATAGACGCATGCAGGGGCCTGAATTACCTCGGCCACAAATTGTTTTAGTACCAAAATTAACCAGTCCCACAGAGTCAACAAATAATTTCAAATTACGCCATGAATATCTTCCGATGCAGAACGATGTAGGACGGCAACCTTCAGAATCCTCAATAACAGCCAGTCGAATCACTAAACCGGATGAATATGTGACCGAATTCACAGAACGTCCTTTGAAAATAGCAAACAGCGAATCACTCAAACGCAAACAACC